CCCTATGCTTGTGCACGTGCTGTTGTGTTGTCGCTATCCTACTTGACAGCGACCCTCCAAGTGATACCTGCTTAGAGGTCTCTGTTAATGCATCTTGAAGACAGTATCGTGGTGGACCTTGCCAGGCTTGTCCGAGTGTGAGTGTCAAAAAAATACCCCGCTTCCGGATTGCGGTATGCATTTCACCATGGAAACCTCTCGCAGCCGGCTTTGAACAGAGCTTTAGTGCTTAATTTCACTTGAAATTTCCGGCCGTTCTAGTGCTTGGGGGTAGTTTCTGAATTCGAAGAGTATTATTTTTGAGAGTCCGTGAAGCTCTGGAGATGCTCTGAAAGCCTAAACTCCCTAATGACATGGCAGAACGTTGGGAATTATGCCCTACCGAAAGTACTTGTTAATTCGCACAAATGCGCCCTTCAACGGCAAGATACACTTCGGAACCATTCGAACCTTTGGTACATTTTTTTGCTGACAGATCGGTAGAATGTATAGAAAATTAACCCTAAAGGGCCCAGATACCTCTTATTCAAAAGCCATACAAATAAGGATTCCTCTGACCCTTTGGGTTTAGGGAGGTTAGGGAGCTGCCTCAAGGGGCCTTAAAAAGCGAGCCTGGACGTCGGGTCGCGGATTTCCTGGCTTTGGCTGAAGCGTTTGGCGTCGGCCATGGCTGAATCTCGGCAGAGTTTAGCGGTAGAGATCTTCCGGCGTTGAGGATGTTTCGGGCTTAGGGCTTATAGGGTTTAGGATTTTTCGGGTTTAGGGTTTTCGGGTTTAGGGTTTGTAGGGTTTGGGGCTTCAGGACTCCAGGGGTTCAGGGTTTAGGGTTCAGTTTCGGGTTTAGGGGTTTCGGGGGAAGGCTTCCGGGGGTGGAGGCGCTAGATCGTAGAATCATGGGGTTTAGCCGGGGGTCGGTATTTTTCCTGCTGCTTCAGCTCCCCAACCTTAACCCGACACCTAAACCCGAAGATCGGGTATTCAAACCCTAAACCCTAAACCCTAAACCGTGTAGGGTTTAGGGTTTAGGGACCCTAAATCCTAAACCCTAAACCCTGAACCCTGGCTTGTCCGAGTTGTGAGAGTGTAAACCCTGAACCCTAAACCCTAAATCTATGGTCCTCGCTGGAGCGAGGCTCGAAACCTCAAATTTCTCGAAGGTCAGAGAACCTGCATCTTCGCACCTGCCTGGAGCCATTTCTGTAGGCCCACTTATACTTGCACCTCTGTCTGTACACACATATATGTATATACATCGATAGATAGATGGATAGATAGATAGATAGATAGATAGATAGATCTCTCTCTCTCTCCATGTACATATGGCGATGTCATGGTTTTCCATCTACTTCTTTTCACAACAGACTCGGGGAACTCCGGGATGTCGATGTTGTGCAGTGATTCCTTCATTGCTTGTCAACATATGACATGACTCTAGCTCTAGCTAGTAACACGAGCTGACATCCCTTCAAAGATGACATTCACTCTGAAGCGGCATTCTTTTCTGCAAGTGGCCGCCGAGATGCTCATGAGCCCAGCAGTAGTCTTGGAATGAACCAATCCCCCAACGGCTGCGCTTGTGTTATCAAATACCAACCGTACAATCGCAAGGCCACACAGTCTGCTCAGTTTGCTCTAGTGGTTTGTTGTTTTTTTTTAGTGTTTGCTCTAGTGGTTTATTGTTCTAGTGGCTACAAAGTCCCCAATCGGTCATAAACCCATGGATATGAAAGCCATCCTAAACCCTGAACCAAGTCCGGAATACCCTGCATCCTTGACGGTAGAAGCAAAGTAGCAGCCTTTTGCTCCAGGTGTTCGAGATTTAAGGACTTAAGGGCGACAGCTGCCTTTTACGCTTGATTTAAGGGCTCACCCAAAGGCCCGAACACCCTAAACCCTAGACCCTAAACCTGAACCTCGTACCACATGCCTCGCCTGGAGTGTTCGAGCGAAACCTGAACCTTAAATACGAAATCCTGGAGGCCTCTGCGCTAAAACTCCTCACTGCAATTCGTTCCAGGAGTGGACATTGGTCTACCATGACGGGCCCCTAAAGGGGCGCGCCGAGCCATTGAAGCTTCTCCTGGAGGAGGGCTTAGAGCTTTGGGGTTTCGGGATCCCGGGCCCGAGGGGTCCGGATTTTGGGATTAGCTTTTTCAGCTCAGAGGGTTTGGGGTGGGGGTTAAGGCAGTCATGGCATGGCTTGGGATGTGAGAGGATTTCGTGGTTGGCATTCCTTGTACTCTAGAGAGTTAGGGGTTTAGGATTAAGGGGCTTAGGCTTGAGGGTAAGTTTGGAGGTATGGTATTTAGGGACCTATGGTTTTTAAAGTTGCGCTTCGTAAGCAATGCTGCTTTCCATTCGTGTTTTTTGCTACGGCGTTTATCTTCACAGGCTTGCTCTGGTTTTCGATGTCATGCAGTGACGTCATTCCACACTGCCCGATGGTACACATTGGCCGTCCATTATCTGATTAGTTAGTTATGTAGTTCTGTTTTCTACATGCTTTTATGCCCTAGTGCTAAACCTCGAAATCGACATGATCACCGTAACTCACCTCCTAAACCCTACTAAACCCTAAACCCTAAACCCTAAACCCTAACCCTAACCCTAACCCCTAACCCTAAACCCTACCAAACCCCCAAGGAACTCAGCCCGAAAACTCTGGCGCTCACCCAACCCACCGCGCCTCGCATTCTCCGAGTGGCGAGAGTCCAAGCCCCTTTTCTGGTGGATCCACCGCTTACATCACTAAAGGAAAGGGGCCTAAACAAGGCTGGTCGCTGAATATAGGGTTTATGGTTTAGGGTTAAAAAATGCATGTTTTTTTTTTGGGAGGGGAGGGGGGTCCTCATTATGCTTATAGTATAATGGGCCCCAAAACCCTAGTCTAATTCTGAAGGCCCCAAATCGCCCCTATCGCAGGATGCCGGGGTGAGCTACGAGGTCAGTTCTGCCCTTCGGCCCGACAACGGGAGGGTTTTCCGGGCTATAGGCTTTAGGCTTCGGGGGAAAGGGTTTAGGGTTTTTTGGGGTTTAGGGTTTAGGGCTTAGGGTAGAGGTATAGGCTTTAGCTTTGGGCCGTCACGTGGCCGTGTGTTGTTGTTTTTGTTCGTGATGTGGCGACGCTGGGCTATTTCCTTTTTCTGTTATCAATTCACTGCCAAACGTTTTTTGTTTTCTGGCCGTGCCAGAATCCTTCCGTGTTTCGAGGCTGTGGAAAGATTGGGGCCTTGATCTCTTGAAATTAGGGGAAGCCCCCCTAAACTCTGAGCCGGGAAACCTGAGCCCTGAACCGTAACTCCTAGGGTTGTAGGGCAGCGCCGAGCTTTTTTTCACATGCAGGGTTTAGGGTTTAGGGTTTAGGGTTGAGAGCATTTGGCAGGGGAATTTTAGGTTTCATGTAGGGGTCTTAATAGTTAGAACAGGGTTCCTTTGAATCATTGAATGGTTGTCTTCAGGGGCAGTATAAGGGATCTATACTGAAGCTTGTGTCATGTAGGGGCCTCCATGATGGGAACAGGGTCCCTGTCCAGAGTTCCAAGGGTTGCTGTAAAGGTTCTATGCTACAGGGTGTCTGTTCATGGTGTACCTGCAACGTCCATCGTACTTCCTTGTTTTGGTTACTCAGCTTCTTATTCGAGATGCGGGTGTAGCGTGCAGGGGGCTATACAGATCCTCCAGCCCTACGCCAGGGTCTCCGATCACCTTTTGGCACTCTGCGCTACATAAACCTCTCACACGACTAGACTTCGGCTTTTCGAGATGTACCTGCGCTTTGGGTTTAGGGTTCAGGATCTGGGTAAACTAGGGCCATTCGAAGTCAGTCCCGAATGCACCGACCCTACTTCTTGAACAGAGCCGTTCAATGTCTTGAAGCTTTAAACAACAACACCCCTAAATCTATTACTACATGTTCTAAACCCCTGAGCGCAAGTGTAACCCCACAAGATCCTAATACCCCTGTTTTCGTGTTACTACATTATGCTCTATGGAACCTCTTATGCGTGAACCATCCCGCAAGCATGAATCTAGCGTAGCTTGAGGACAACTTATATGGCGAGACAGGACACATGGATGCCTTTAGAGGCCCTCCGTGCGCTGATACGGATCTTCCAGTGTGCCCTAGTTAAGGAATAGTCAATATAGTCCTTACCCATATGCTCCATGCTCGTTCCATGTTGCCCTATAGGATCCTTCCTAAGTATAAACCACAGAAAGCAACTGCGATGGAGCCTTTATAGGTAAGTGTTCTTGAACAGGGCTGAGGGTTTGAGAATTCAGGTTCTGGTGGCTCCTTCCATGGCTCTATGTATTTAGGCTTTAAGGGCACCCAAGGAGGCCCCCGATCATTGAGGTCTTGAGGCTTCGGGGGGTTTAGCGAGCAACTCACTGCGTTGGCAGTCTCTGGCGATTGCACAAGTCCAGATGCAAAAAAAGGGTTTTGAGGTTGAGTTCTGGAAGTCCGTGGGCAAACTCGAGCCTAAGCCCAAGACTTGGACCCGAAGCTCTCAATCAAAGCTTGGGCATGGGGTCTTGGGTAATCCAGCTGGATGAGTAGAGGAAGGTTTGAACATTCCATGGCAACCCGCAAAAGCCGTGCTGGAAAAGCTCTGTGCGCTGTTTGCACCTAATTATGTGTGACGTCAGGTGTTTGAAATTGCGGCATTTCGCAGGGCAAATCCCGCGGGAAAGCTGGTCATTCAGCCGTTGTTTGTTGAGCGTGATGCTTTGGCGAATTGGCTGGGAACCTTCCTGTTTTCAAGCATGTTTTTTTTCGGTCTTCATCTCTGGAGCTACTCGCGCCGTCCGCTTCCCCTTCCTCGTCTTTGGTGCAGTGTGTGCCCTTGGATTTCTGCCTGCAGCTCACTATGTCAGGAAAAGTTTCCGGGAGCCTGGGGAGGATATGGCAGCACCTTTTGCAGTCAATTTCAGTTTCAGTTTTAACCACGAGAATGGGCCCTAGCCTGAAAGACGAGTTAAGGAACAGGAAGAGATGTTCAGGAGCCTTTCAGAGTTTGATGTCAGTGAGCTGTCTTGCTTCAGCGACTTCGACAAGCGCTTCATTCTGTCGGCCGTTATCCAGTGGTACGGAAGCCTGGAAGACTTCAGCTTGTTGGTACGAGGCCCTCTAAAGGAGGAACTCCTGCACGCACTGCAACAGAGCCGCTGGCCGCTCGGCTACTGCGTCCTTTCCATTACCCCGTTCCTGAGCGTTCAGCTAGAATGGCTCGCTGGATTGCTGTCAGCTGGGGCACACTTTGATGCTTGGGGTCGGATCTTCTTTGGACAGATCCTAGCAACGAACATGCTGGTAGCGCCTGGTTCTGCAAAAAGATGAAGATTTTCTCTATTTGGAACATCCCTCTTGAGCATAAATACGCTCATTTTCTGCCGAGGTGTGTGAAAGTCAAGCTTTTTTCTGGCTGGCAAGACGCCTTTCGCAGCCGCGCTTTGCCCACCCAGTCCTTGACTTCGGACAGACGGTGCTGGTGGTCGCACTGTTTGTTTGCACGCTGCTCCCCCTTGTGGTCGTATTCCGGGCATACCAGACCAGCCTGGTCGGTGGAATCTTGGGAGCCCTAGTCGCCGCTGTCATCTTGTGGGTGACGGTGCTCCGAGGGCATCCGGGCCTCAGATGCCGTGTGCATGAAGTCTGAGGTCCATCCGAGGGGTCCACAATGACAGCTTCTCCCGTACCGATTTTTTTATCAAAGCCCAGTTGGAGGGGAATATAATATATTCCTTTGGGGATCCAGATTTTTGTGAGGTTTAGGGTTGAGGATTGATTTCTTTAGTGATAATGTAATGGTTCTCATGAGGAAGCTTGCCATTAACCCCCCTATAACGTAGGGGTATCGGTATTGTTTGATGAGTGTTTACTGCTTCTTGGGAAATTGATATAACTTTGTAGTTCTGGCTCATACATGTGATTTATATGAACTGTCACGATATGGGTCCCTAAGATTTGGGGTTCGAAAATACAGGTTCTTATGCTATTGTCCCGCTGCCACGAGCAGCAATGCATGCAAATCCCCACGTCAAGCGCTTGTTTTTTATTTATCGTTGTTTGCAGATGTAAAAGGGCGCATCATGGATCTCGCAAAGAGCGCACTTACTTGGAAACCGATAGTGCGCTCACCAATTCCTAATGATGCCAAACCCAACCAGTTATATGCACCGTACCCCATGTGACGATCACATACTCGTCGTTCTGAGGGTTGGGAAACAAATTATGACATAAGCCTGACCCTAAACCCTAAACCCTAACCCTTGAGACACGAAGGAAAGGGCCCCTCTCCCGTTTCACAAATTTCAGCTGCGGAGTCGACCGGGCGTGCGATGCTTCCGGGAGGAGATTCCCTTTTTCCTGGGTTTCGATCTGAGGGACTATAGGACATCAACTGCCACTCACAACGCCGCACTCTACTGACTGGTTGTTTTTACGGAATAAGGGAGTATGATCCCTGTATAATCCCTATATATAATATATTCCCCCAGTCTACAACCCCCATAACCAAAGCTTAAGCACGAAGCGAGACCAGGGTTGGGGTGCAAGGCTTCCCAAGTAATGCGGCTCCAAGGGCCTGGTAGCTTTTGGACTTGGGTGGTTGTCAAAATTATGGTCCCTTTTTGGGTCCTTATTATAATACGGCACCTATTATTTAGGGTACCCCAAAAGGGACCATAATTTTGACAACTACCCATTGTTGAGGGCCTTCCCCTGCTACCGTGGGGGATTTCGGACAGCAGGTGTTCATTATGTGCCAAAGCAGAAGCTGAGGAATGATTATGTGTTGGGGGAGAAGAAGGGAGGAAATTTAAACTTGGGCTTCGTAGGATTTGTCCACTGGCTCTTTGACCGAAGCATCGAACGTGTGGCTCCTGTTGTACGCCTTCCTGGTCCTGAATGGAGCAGGGGGTGGAATATTCGGCTATGGCTATGAACAACGGGCTTGTTGTTGGAAGTGGGCTTCAGCTGTACCGGCCAAGGTGTGCGCGGCGTACTGGAGGCAGTGCAATGTGCTCAGTACCTGGAGATGGCGGGTCGTTGAATGCAGGGAGGGAGGTTGCTACTTGATTACTTCTTCACTATTGTGCAGCCTCCATGGTAAAGAATGCTCAAAAAAGGGGCACAGTTTAGGGCTTAGGGTTTAGGAACACCTCCCGGGTCACGTAGATCGGATGCCATTCTCCATCCCGCCGGGTAGAGCCCAGTGACGTGTCTCACGAGCCGCATACCGGCGGCTGAAGAAATTCGCGTCAGCAACACGGAAGCCTAAATCAGATTCATTTCCCCAAACTGGAGTCCCTACACTGTCGTCGTAGATACCCCGCTGCAGTCCCGAAATCTATTCTGCCTTTGATGTTGCTGTCGCTGAATACGGACTTCGGGTGGAGGTGAAGCGAAGGCTTTGCGCTCTCACCCCTTTTCACAGATTGTCTGGCAGACTATCGCATTCACCAAAACATGAGGGGTGTGTTTTCGCGCGCGGTTGTCCGTCTTGTGAGAATGCTCCGGGCATTCGACACAGCGTCATCGCAAACAGACGGTGCGGCTTCACGAAGCAACTGATGTTGAAGCGAAGTAAGAACAGTAATAATACTTGTAATACAAATGACAATAATAGTAATCATGATAATAATTTAACAATAGTAATCTCAATGACAGTAAAATGAAAGGGGTGCCGGCCTTTTCGTCTGGTCCGGTTGATGGGAGCTTGGGCTTGTATCCAGAGTCGTTTGGCTCCTGCTCTCGACAATCGCTGTAGATGCTGGAAGAGGATGCTTTGTAGTCCCGAAGTTGACAGCGGCTTTGTTCGAAGACCATTGAGGCCAGACTACGTAGCAGATTCCATTTTCTCACATCGCAATCTTTGCCGCTCATGGCCTTGGAAGTGGGAGACCTGGGCCACCAGATCCTCAGCGCAATATGAGAGACTCAGTTCCTGACGCCAGGATTGCTAGGACACATAGGACACATTCCGGGTAAACTTCTCTTGCGAATTAAGTGCACTCCAACCGTGGCTTGAGTCAATGTTTTCTCAGGACCCTCATTGCAGAGCTGCGGGAGGAGTTCCGTGTTGAGCACGAGAGAGCCACAGCTGAAGTAGGGTCGTGCACGGCCGAGAAGCTCAAGTTTCTAGAGCCTGATATCCTACACAAGGCCGGAGTAGCATTGCTGGCGGGCATGACTACGAAGACATGCTTGAATGCTGTAACGAGGGCTGCAGTGCAGGATTACAATCGGCGTCCCCTGTGCTACTAGTGTCACGGTAAAATTGTGACGTCGCATGCCTCGTGGTTGTCAAACTGTTGGGTGAACACCCCGGGGATGTCTTCCGAGGGCTTCAGAAATCCCTGGAGACCGAGCGGGCCGAGCGCGTGCAGAGCATTGCCGGCATCCGTCAATCCGCTTGGAGCCTACCGAAGTTTGTGCTCAAGTGGGTTCACTGCCGTTCACTGCCGGCACAGGGGGGAAGGCATCGTCCTGCTGATACCCAACTCCTGTAGAATTGCTTGGGCGACGCTTGGTCTGGCGACACATGCTCCCTTTGCTCACGGAACGGTGACCGAAGAAGCAACACCAACACCACCCACAAACTGCAACGGCCACTGAACAATCGGTGTTCGTCTTTTGAGAGTCATGAGATGCCGCTAGTATTTCTGTGTGGGGTTGGCTTCCGTGCCAGGTGGATACGCTGGGTGCCTCTCTCGTCGAGGGCCTTACCATCCTGGGTGCTGATGCTCGGCCAGCAGCAGGAGATCCAGTTTTCAAGGCCAAAGCCGGAGACGGTGCTACTGATAGAAACAAGAACAGAGACACAGATACAGTAAAAACTCAGGAAGTCGAGAGCCTGATCTCGTTGGTGATGCACCTGAAGAAGAAGCAGGCAAGAGCACTCTGTTCGCTTCTTCCTGCGTACGAATCATGTAGCAGGACCTCATTTGCATGAGTTTGCGAGACATGCGCAGAGGAATAGATGACATGCGCAGTCGCAGCTATGTAACACCTATCTCTCTTCAGGTGATTGCTTGGATGTTCTTCTTTGATGCAGCAGGTTCTCATTCATAAAAGCTGTTGTGGTGGTCCTGCTGAGAGGCGGCATAGCTACGTGAGAGGCAGTGGCCCCACAAGAGCCGCATCTGGCAACAGAGGAGCATTGAGAGCCTTTTTAGTCTCAAGGCTCCAACCTCTTTCACCGAGAAGTTGGCTTCCATTATCCCGTTGTCCTTGGATCCTTACACCTTTCGCCATGACGTGGCTTCAGCTGCTGCTCCAAGCTGCGCTGTGCGCAGGCGCTGTGGCAGGAGGTGCCAGCTCGCTGAAGCGCCGGTTGCAGCAGACGACTACCTTCGCTTCAGGCGGCTATGATGGCTACGGCTACGACGGCTATGATGGTTATGCAGCACCGTCACAGGATCGCCCGGTTACAGTGGATATAGCGGCACCGTGACCGGCTCGCCCGGCTACGGTGGATATGGCGGAGACTGGGTCTACTGCGAAGAGCTGTACTGCTACACCAACGTCTACAACGATGCAGGTCAGGTCGACTGGGACGCGACGAACATGATTGAACCCACGTGCTCCGCCTATGACGAAGGCTGCAAGTGTAACGAGCAGTGGGAGGAGGAGTGTGACAGCTGGGGCTACAAGTACTGTGAGCAGAAGAGCATTGGCTGCTACGACCCTCACGACGTGTCTTGCATGGATTACGAGGTGAAGTGCAAGGACTCCTTCTCCAGCTATTGCTGGGATCCCTCCTATGGAGCCTGTCCACTGTACTGCGACAGCACTCAGCTGTACTGCTTCTCATACGGCTACGATGACAAGGGCCTGCTGAACTACTCGGACTACCGTGAGTACTGCGCGGCCACGGAGACAGGTTGCACCTGCAACGCGCAGTGGGAGCACAAGTGCACGGATCAGTGGGGCTACAGCTGGTGCCAGGAGAAGACTCAGCCTTGCCCGATCACCTGCGGCACAGATGAGCAGGACTGCTGGACGACACCGTACGGTAAGGACGGCTATCCGGATTGGAACGCAAGCTACGAACAGACTTGCCACCCAATCGACCAGTCCTGCCCCTGCGACCCCCTACATGAAGAGACATGCAGTGACAACTGGGGTACCTGGTGTCAGCCGAAGGTTTATGGCTCTTGCCCGATAGCTTGCGGCACTGACGAAATGACATGCTGGGTTACGCCTTATGATGACAGTGGAAATGCTCTTCACGACGGGGTCTGGAACGAGGTTTGTGCACCAGTCGCGGATGGTTGCCCATGTAATCAGCAGTGGGAGAAGCAGTGCACGAGCTACGGCTACACGTTCTGCGAGAACAAGACGAACAGCTGCCCAGTAGATTGTGGCGAGGTGGAGACGTGCTACCACTACATGTCAGGTAACCAGACTTGTGCAACAGATTCTGGCTGTGTTTGTGAAGCAAACGAGATCAGCTGTGCCAATCCGGACACTGGCAAGGTGGAGTGCGATCCCACCGACTGGTATCCTTCGGGTTGTCCTGTCTCCTGCAAGATGTCTGAGATGTACTGCTCCAATGTCTCGTTCGATGCTACAGGAATGATGCTTTGGCAGGACTACTGCCTGGATGGCGACAGCAACAGCTGGATGTGCCCCATCCATTGCGACGCAACCACCTCGAAGAAGTGCGGCACCCCGGGCTCCTTCGACGAGCACTGCGTTGCCATCTCAGAGGACTGCCCTTTGAGCTGCTCAGCAGATCAGCAGTACTGCTGGGTGGACCAGTATGATTCCGACGGCATGTGGCTCTGGATGCAGACTGCCCCTGTGGAGCCAATTCGGTGCAGTGCGAGGACCCCTTCTACGGTGGCTACAAGTACTGCACCGCTTCTTTCTGGGGGTGCCCGATCTACTGCGATCCCATCGCGGAGAAGACCTGCTACCCGATATCATTCACGGAAGATGGGCTGCAAGATTGGAATGCCCCGGTTAAAGAGAGCTGCCAGAACATCACTCAGCCATGCGGGTGCGGCGAGAATGCCAAGATGTGCCGCTGGACTGATGAGTGGGGATACGAAAACGAGGTATGCTACCCAACCAGCATTGCATGCCCCGTCACCTGCCAAGAAGATGAGCAGCGCTGCTACATCACAGACTACGGAAGCAATGGCTATCCCGGCGTCTACCGGGAGACTTGCATCAAAGCAGACCAGGTGTGCCCTTGTGGAACCCACTCGCAGCAGTGCCATGACCCACACTGGGACTATCACTACTGCTACCCGCTGGTGGACTACTGGAGCAATAGCTCCATGCGCTGCCCGGTCTACTGCACCGACGAGGAGGACTACTGCTACAGCCCTAGCTACGATGCGAATGGAGGGTGGTTGAGCACCGTGGAAACATGCGTCCCAAAAGGCACCAAGTGCCAGTGCACTGGCCAGAACTCCTTCTCATGCGACTTCAATGAGTGGGGCTACACCTGGACGGAGTGCCTCCCCATCGAGGGAGGCTACTGTCCGCCTACATGCGCCGATGGTGAGGTGAGCTGCCCGGGGGTGCACGACTACAAGCCCGACGGAAGCTGGTTGGGTTGGTCCAGCCCCACCACGAAGTGCGCCGCCAGCCTTGACAGCTGCCCCTGTGGAACAGAGGCAAAAGCATGCCCGGGCTCTGCCATGCGCTGCATCTTCAAGGACGAGGAGTGTCCGGTGGTCTGTGGGGACAAGCAGAAGAAGTGCTGGATTGTGTACTTCACACAGTCGGAGGAGTGCATCAGCGACCGTGAAATCTGCGTTGGGGAGGATGAGAAGTGCCCGTGCGGTCAGAACACACAACGATGACCCGGCTCAGACACCTGCCTGCTGCCTAGCGAGGCCAGCCTCGTTTGCCCTTGCGAGGAGGCGGAGAAGCAGTGCAATGTCGTGGACTACACTTCCTCGGGGAAGCAGTCAAACACGAGCGTTCAGTGCATCAATAAGGGTGCAAAGTGTCCGTGCGGCGCGAACTCCTTGGTGTGCCCGGACCCGAACAATGCGGAGGACAACATCTGTCGCCCCAAGTATAGCGGAACACTTCTGAACAGCTGCCCCAAAGCATGCACACCGGAGCAGGAGGCTGCTGGCAACAGGACCTGCATCCAGACGCACCTGACCGAGACTGGAGCATTCAGGATTCAGGTCAGAGAGTATCAGCTGCGTGAAGCCGGACAACTGCATTGCTGGTGATAATATGCAGAAGTGTCCCTCAGGAAGTCATATCCCGGCCTGGAAGTCGTGCAAGGACCTCTATGGTGCAGGCGGCAGCAACGCCTCTGCCGTGGAAAGCGGTGAGAAGCAGAAATCCAAGGTGATCGTGGTGCTGGATGCTGTCAAGGAGAAAGTCATGGAGAAGCTCGAGGATACGCGGGTGCTGCTCAATGGCGAACTCTACCTCCCCAAAGGTTTGAAGACCACCATCACCTACAAGAGCCAGAGTACGGCGGTTCAAGGCCGACGCTTGACGACCCGCCGTGCCTCCACCACGGGCGCCGTGCTGACGCTTGAGATCGAGAACGAGGGGCCGACATCAGTGGCACCGGTCGACGTGGCCCAGGAGCTGCAGAAGCAGGTCAAGAGCAGCAGCACTGGTGCCATGAAGGCTTTGGGCGATCTCGGCACCGTGAACACCAAGGTGGGTGTCCGTGTTGCTTCGGAGAAGGCGACAATCACGACGCGCGCAGATGTCGCGAACCAGCAGAGAAAGGCAGCGCTGGGAATCTCTGATCCCACCACCACCAGCAGGCAGGCCAGCCAGGGGCAGGTCACGACGCTAGCAGGAAACACTGGCGACACCGAGACAACCAGTATGGATGATGAGCTCAGTCTTGCCGTGTCGGGTCGGTTCTACCTGCTCGCGGTTCTGTTGCTGGCTTTCAGCCCCGCCATGCACTAGGATTAGGAAACACCATGCTGGGTCCTGCAAGGGAGCCGCAAGCCATGTCGAGTGCTGAAGTGCCACAGGCAATTTAAAGCTCGTGTGGCCTCCAAGCGCTTTACAGGCATAGCTTGATCAGGGGCAGGGCCAATGGGGATGATGTCACAGGGGGGGGATTGCTGTTACAACAGATATAGATACTGCTTAGATGCTGGTAGGACCTCAAGTCAAAGTTAGAAAAATTCCAGCTCCCGGGCTCGCTTGGATGGGACTTATTAATATTGGTTGACATTTTTGGAGGGCAGTCGCTGCCAAGACTGCACATGCAGCCTGTTCAGCATCTCCCTCTAACTTTTAAGTTTTGCTGGCTCTCAGAAGCTCGACGATTCGAAGACACATGCAGCTAACACAGACCGATCTGCCTGAGTAGGTATGGCTTCGACTTACGGGACTTTTGGGCCATAATGGGGCGTAAACTTGCGGCGACCTTCGAGCATTTTCACTGAGATGCGGGCCATTCACAATCAGTGCCCTTAGCTGCTACCTTGCAGCCAACGTTCCCTTTGACCACGAGTATGGTGCCTTGCTAAGCAAGGGTACCTTGTAGATCGTTGAGGCAAGGTCATGGAGCCACCGTGAAGCGTAGCTGTTATGACCCGCCGCTGCGAACTTCGACATGATCTTACTGGTTGAAAATTGGACCGGTTATACTTTGTGTAGTCTGAAGTGAACTGTGACATGATGGACACCATGAGCCGAGCTTGGCTCACTCATTGGGACATGCTTATGAGGAGTTTAGGAACTTGGCATGGGGCCGCGGCCGGGAATTTATGACACCTCTTTCCGCCTTTGCCATTGCTTGGCAGCATCCAAAGTTAGAAGCTTCTTAGCCAGCCACAGGTAGGAATTTGTCGCATGATTCCTTTACAGGTTACTTCTTCTATGGAATCAACAAGTCATCAAAAAATCGTCGCCTGCCTTACCAGCCCGAGAGCCGCGTTGGGGAACGGTCCGGGGTCCAGAGTGCTTGCGGGCAGCCGTGTAGCGGTCCTTGCAGTCGGTTCTTGTCTCGGACAGAGAGGGGGGGCAGGGCTCAAGCCGCGAACATTTGTGGGAGCGACAGCACCATGAACATGATAGGTCTGGACCCCTGAAACTTAAACCAAATAAAACTCGAAAACAAAAACCCGATCACGTGGTGGGGGGGGTCTGCGGTAAGCCGGGAGGGTCGTGTACCATACCAAGACCCTCCGGCCTCCGTCCATCGTGTTGCCTTTCTCTTCACGTTGGTGCTTGTCGATGTAAAATTGGTTTTTGGAGACCCCTAAGGGTCCATGTACCCAAATCGTATATACTTTGGCCTCAAAGCATCAACTATGTGGGCACATGGACCCTTAGGGGACATGCCACGAAAACGGCTCTCGGGCTTTCCCGGAACCTCTCGCCGAGCCCGTCCCGGGCCAGTTCGATGATGTGATGATGTTTGGATTGACTGCCCCCCTGTGCCGGTCCGCTGCCCGGGATGTGTTGAGTGTTTTAGGACAGTTTTTGGAAGCACGATGATAAGGACGACGATAACGATGGCGCAAATAAGGTTTTGACGAACTAGTTCGCGCAGGCTATGCCATGCCAGTCTTAGAACCTTATAAATCTAAAGCATCCTCAACCTCACACCCGAAACCAGGGAGCCACGCAATCAACGGCCAGTTCCATGCCGGGCACTGAAGGGGGCTCCGTTTGGTGGTCCGGCTTTCCGCAAATCTGGTTTCGTTAGGTTAGCAGAATCTAAGACGTCTTAGAGGAAGTTTGCTCTTTCTTGCAGTGGCCAGATGCACATCTGCAGTTCGACTTCATCTTATATGTCGATGCATGGGCTTGTCATGGCACCAGGTCAGCAGGACATCGGACTCTAAGTCCGACTATTTTGGGACGGACCCCAAACTTACCAAAGCCGTTTCTGCGTGGTGGTTCCCGGTAAAGCCCGGAGCAGGCTGGAAGAAGAAGAGGAGGCCTTGCAACCGATTTCGCCACGGTCCATGGACCGCCGGCGGATGCCACTTCGATGCTTTCAGAGTATGGGGACGGCCCCCATCTACTGCAGCACAGCTCATGTAGTAACGAAGGAATCCACAAAGGCGCTTCGTCCCAATTGCTGAGAGAGTCCTACGACTTGCCTGTATACGCAAACTCCCAAGGATGCTGAGCTTCGAGCAGGTGGGGCGTGCGTTTGCGGCACATGAGTAGTTGCGGAGGGGATGTTGAGTACATTCGTGACCTCAGAAATCTTTGCGGGCTGTAGACTCGACGTCATTCTTGTATGTTGGTGTATGCTGACATGGTGTACTTTTTAGGCTGTCAGTCCATACAGTTTGGATTGTGCATCGGCCATAGTTTTCTTCAGGATCTTGGAGGCCTTTGGAGGATGCGAGTGCCGTTGGTGAGACGGGCTAAAAGGCTAGGCAGCTTCGACTTGGCGATGTAACAACAGTCTGGTTGTTGAGGTAAGTTCTTGTCCAATTGGGCGAGCTCGACGAATGAAGGAGGTTTTGCGCTCGCGGGATTCCTCCTCATTGTCCTCCCTGCTGTTACATGCCCTTGCGTAGCGAGACCTTTGAGGATGGCACAGGGAGAAAGAGAAACAGTAACGAGGCGAGCCATGTCGGGTGCATGAATTGTGAATCAAGCATTGCGCAGCTGGGCCAGCAGCTGACGGACGGCTGCCGTGCTCAACTGGCGATGGAGCTGAAACGGGCAAACAAGGACGAAGCCATTTCAGCTTGACTGTGTCTTTCGAGAGGACTTGCTTCGTGGCTTCAGGTCTCCATACCGGGATGTGGAAGTCGTGCACCGGCACAAGAAAAGATGCAAAGCGGGCATGATGTAGCAGCAGTTTAGCAGTTTTTGATGGGGAATGCCAATTGTTCAAAGCGTGCCCGGAGTGCTAATGTGATCCTCTGTAGTGTGTTCGGGTCGGGATAATTCAGCTCTCGGGTGTTTTTTGGGGGGCGTACTCAACCATGTGCCATTAATTCGGCCGGATTTTGCTTTTGATGTGCTTTTTGCTGCGAGTGGTCAACTTTAATTTTGGAGAGGATCAACATGGTTTTGGTGCCTTTGTGTGGGGGGGGGGGGGTGCGCGGGGGAAGTGCAGGATGAAAATGAAGGCTCTTGGCTCACAGCTTTCTTGGAGTAACCGGGCTTTGGTTTCGAGGTTTCGATGGTTTCAAATCCGCAAAACCCTCTCAGGCCCCCTTAACCCGCTAAAGTTTTGCCGTAGTACTAGAATGGGAGGGCTGCAGAATCCTTCCTATTCTACTATTGCAGTAATACCGTCCTACAACTGACTGTGCTGGCACTCCCGCTACCCCTACACCACCGCGACAACGAATACTACTTCTACTACTATGACTACTACCACCACTACCACTACCGCTACCGCTACCGCTACTGCTACTCCTACTACTACTACTACTACTACTACTACAACTACTACTACTCCTACTCCGACTCCGACTCCGA